TCGTCAACACCGGTGTCAAGCCCCGTTCATCCCACTGGAAAAATACCGCCACGGATTCTACCTCCTGGAGTACCCGTGGAGGATATCGCCTACACGGAATACTTGCGAAACATCTAAGTCCTACCTTCAAAAGGAAAGAATTCTCGATCAGTGGAGAACCTCCCGAACAATCCTTCTTCATAAGAAGGGCGAGAGGACCTTCGGAACCCTTTCAAAATGCCTGCTGAGCGTGCTTTACAAGCTCTTTACGAAGATTACTTTCGCTCGCATATCAAGGACCCTGGATGAAGCCCAACCCGCAGAACAAGCTGGTTTTCGCTAGGGATTTAGCTGCGAGGATCACATGCAGACTGTTTCGAGGATTATCGAGATTTACCCTGAGTACCGCCTACCTCTCGTCCTAACCTTCGTTGACTATGAGAAAGCGTTTGATAGCATCGAGACTAGTGCCATACTGTCGGCGCTCGTCGTCCAAGGGGTGGACCCATCTCAGTGAGGACATTGGCCGACTGCTACAGGAACTGCTCTACAACGGTGTAGCTTTTCCATCGTCCCCTTAACATACCAATCGCGAAGGGGGTTCGACAAGGCGACACAGTGTTGCCAAAGCTGTTTACGTCGCGTTGCAGTGGGTGATGAAATCGTTGGATTGGAACGAGAGAGGTATACGAGTTGATGGGAGACCTAGGTACCTAGGTTCAGTACTCCAGAGACAAGAAACAAAAGTGAAGTGATTTTACCTATGGATCTTTGCAAAAAGTGATGGTGATTTTTGATATGCTATGGTAGCTGAAGAGGAAATAAGGAAATGTTCTTGATTCAAAAAGCAATCAGTGGGAAGCTTTTTTGTTCAAGCAATTCAATAAAAAATGTTGCAAAAATGAAACACTTCCTTCAAACATTCTCCGATCATTTCCTTCGTCGCCCTTTCTTTTCGTGCATATATCTCCAAAAAATTGTGAAGCTAGAGTCGTTTGTTTTTTTACACAAAAGTGAAACTGTA